GCTATATAATTTGTAAGCGTAGACCAAATAAAACACGTTTTTTTTACATTTTTCTGATTTATACAAGCTTGTATATACTATATATATGTACATAGATGTTAGATGAGATTGCAGCTCCCTAATCAAATGTTATCTGAATTTAGATTATATGCATATAATAGATAAAAATTCTTCAACTAAACTGGAATAACTAAGCCAAATTCAAATAATTTTAAATGGCATATATATGTATATTTAATACATCTGTCTATATAATATATAGACATACCTTTTCCTCTTGTATTTTATGTTCTATCTGAAAAGTCATCAGCTATTATCCAACAGCTTCTTTAAATTTGAATTGCCCGCCCCGGGAAACTAATCAAAATTTAAGCACTTTGGCAGCCGGCTGAACAATTGCCAACTTTGTCAGAGAAGCGCCCAGAGCGAGAGGGGAGAGGAGGATGCTGAGCACCAACTGACCAAAGTCCAAAATGACCATTACGCACCGCTGTGAGATTGTAATCTAAGATCTCTCGTTATTGGAGCAGGGATTTAATTAGACAAATGTGCGCAATTTGTAATCCCATTTTTCAGCTGGCGACCAACTTGGAGAAAAGCCAAGTGTAAACTTTGGGTGTTGAAAGAGAGAGAGAGAGAGAGGGAGAGAGGGAGAGATGGTCAGATTGATAGAGATGGCGATAAAATTGGTAAGGAAAATGGGAAAATGCGCAAAATATGTGCAAATGTGCAGCATGTGGACAGTGGTCATTATTTTCGTTACGGGGCAGGTACAACTTACGAACTACTATTTGGCAACGAGAGAGCTGTGTGTGTGTGTGTGTGTGTGTGTGTGTCAGCAGGCGGTCCATGTTCAGCATGTTCAGGCACTAAAGCAACGACACAAAAAATGAGATTTGCTGACCAATGGTCATTAAAGCACATTTACAATGTGTGGCCGGGTACCGGGGCCAGCGTCTGCGTCTCGGCTGCGGCGGCGGTGGCATGCAACCAAATGAGGCAGCCAGCCAGGCAGGAGGCTTTGGCCAGAGACAAGCGATCAAATCGATGCCGAAATTAATTTATCTGCTCGCTACCTAAATTTGACAAATTGCAAATGTATTTGAAATTGACTGCAGAAACAGAAACAGAGACAGATAGAGAGAGAGAGAGAGAGAGACAATCTTACTATTAATGCAGTCAATTAATCTTATCAAGCTGTGAACTTTTGCGTAGATTTTTTACATTTTACATGCCTAGGCAGAGACAGAGGCGAGCGGGCGGGGCGAATTTTACAGCACTTGGTGGCGCAGCATCCACTTGATTGCGCTAATTGGACGCGAATGATGGGGCGCAGCGCGTGATATACATATACATATACATATACAAGAATGGGGGGCAGCTGTTGCTGCTGCTCCATGATGACAAGATTTTCATTCATTCATAAAAAATAATATTTAACTCGTTCAATGAGGCAACAAATAAGAGAAACAAAATACGCTGACCGACCGGAAGTTCTTATTCTTGATTGCAAATTGCTAATTGCTCGAGAATTAGCTGGATGAGTGTGTGAGTGGGTGTGTGTGTTTTCCTAGAAACGGGTGTCATGCTATGAGTTTAGAGAAATTGATACAATATCTGTATATACATATATCAAGATTTACTCGATGAGAATCACGTAGAAGTGCAAACATTAGCTAAATGACCAGACGTAGAAAAAAAAGGAGAATGAGATTCAGAGAAAGCAAAACTGATAGAAGATGGAAAGCCTTCAAATTCAAATGACTACGAATCTTAGAGAGTTTGTTAGAGAAAGGGAGAGAACGAAAGCGTAAGGACGGAAGAGAGAGAAAGGCGAACGCCAGAGAGTCTGAGATGAAAGAGAAGACACGAAATCAGATTAAAAGAAGAAACGGTCCGTGAAGAGGACAAGATAGACAAATACAGATAAAAAGAATAAGAAAGAAGGACAGAGAGAAAGAGGAAGAATACTCTAAGAGAAAGGGTAAGAGAATTGCGCAGTGGGAGAGAAAAAGTGAGAAAGAGATTGAGTGGTCGCAAACGCGTGCTTGTATGTATGTGTGTGTGTCTAATTTATAACGCTCAAGTCAAGTTCAATAGTGTTAATTGAAGCAAAGGGTTTTCCTCTACAGTGACAAGCCGCAGTATTTCCGTTTTGAAGTTGACGCAGCTGCTGCCGTTGCTGTTGTTGTTGTTGTTGTTGCTGCTGTTGCTGGCACAGTTAGTTCAGTTGAGCGCCTCGCCGTTGCATTTATTGAGCTGGGCTTCGGCTTGGTTCAGAGTTCAAATGCAGGCAAAAATATGTAAATGCAGGGCGCTTGCGTGTCGGGTCTATAGGGGGGGAACTGATTTGCTTTTACTTCTTGGTTCTAAAGCGATTACAAAGCAACAGCAACGACAACAACAACAACTGCAACAGCAGCAGGAGCGGCAGCCACATCAATTTCGGGCACTGGGAACGGGTCACGAGGTGCCGCAGTTGAGATTTTGTAGATGGAGGCGGAGCTGCGCTGCAGTCTAAACGCTTGTTAAAGGGCGCGCTCGAAATTGAGGCGCTTATTGCGGCTGCTGTTGTTGCTGCTGCTGCTGTGTGGTTTAGCCAGCAACCGCAAAAACAAATCAACCAGGCAGGCAAGAAGACAGCCAGTTAGCCAGTCAGCGCGAAAATCCAAATTCGATTTGCAATTTTCGCGAGTTGAGTAAACAATTTTGAATGAAATGCAAGGCCAGAGCCAAGCGGGTGGTGGGTGCAGGAGGAAGTCGATGGAATGGTTTGGCATGTGTTGATTTGCAATTTCATGGCAGCCACAATTTGCACCTCATCAACTTTGGCCAAGATGATGAAGATGATCTTCCCATCTTTCTCTCTTGCCTTGCCAAATCGTTCAATCAGTTGAGCCAGAGGTTTTGGGCCAAAAAGGTTGGCACGTGCAACCGGCTGGCAAAAAAATTACAAAAAATGTGTCCCAAATAGTCAAGCAACAATTTCTCTATCAAGCAACCAGGAAGTGATAATAACAACAACAACAACAACAGCAGCAATATTGAGTAAAAATTGCTTAGATAAATAATGCATATCTCACGCACTTGAACCTCAGCTTTGAACCTCAGAGAAGATGCTGCACAGTCAACTCTAACTCCATCTCCCTCTCTCTCTCTCTCCATCTCCCTCCATCTCTGACTAGCTTTGGTCAAGCGTTTTAATGAAGAGGCCCAGATCCCATGGCCAGCACCGTAAGTAGCCCCCAACAATGGACGCTTCAGGCCAATTTAATACGGCTGCGTGTCTTTTCGACTTTAGCTGGCATTTTTTCTGCTTTTCGATTTGGCGCGATTGCGCGCCGAACGTTCGATTTAATTTAGCGGCAGCAACTGCAGCGAACCCACACAAAAGATTCATTAAGTTTTCCGTGGGAGGCGCGGAGAGCGCTTAGATTTTCTCCTATTTACTTTTCCCAAGATCAACTTGCCTGCGGCTCAAAAGATTTGCGCCAAATTGACTGCATGCTCTTGGTCTGGGTCTGGGTCTAGGTTTTGGCCTGGTCTGGTCCGGTCTAGGCTGCAATTGAATGCCTACCTTTAATACGCTTACAACGGAGATATTACGAGTTCGTGAAGCAATATGTGCATCGTGATAGAAGAGATGATTTTATCTTGATTGGCATCAGCTAAGACTCTAAATGCTTCAGATTGCGTCAATCATGACTAAAACATTTTTAGGGTACCCTGAAACTTATACTAAATTCTATTTATATTTATGTATTCTATTTATATCACAATGCTATATCATAAACGATAAATAATGTTGAAAAAATTATTTTCCCAATTAAAAACTTAGTTTAGTTATATTTAATAAACAACACGCCGAAATCCTTAAATATCAAGGGTATTTGAGCTTCGTTAAGGCGAATATACTTTTCTCTCTCACTTCTATTACCGTTGCATTGATGCGGCGCCGATAGACGCTGTAGCTGAGCGCGGCGAAATGGATTCATTAAATACAAATTTTAGGTTTTCGTTTTTCGGTTCCTTATATGTATGTGTGCGTAAGTGTGTCATTTTGGTGGCCCACATCGGCAAGCCAAAGTCAATGGCTGTGCGCCCTTTTGTTTTAATTAACAACGCATTACAAATTACAATTTCTGCTCAAGCAATAAAATTTTGGTTAATGAGCAAAGGCAACGGCACGCAACAGAGGCGAAGACAGCTGCCGCACACCCTCGAAATTTACAATTGTAAAATAGCTATGGTCTTTAGGGAAATGACACCACACGCACATATGCACGCATATACTCACTCAAATACACAATAATTGTAGTGCATTAATCAAGTGTTAAGCAGTTAATTGCAAATCGAAAACAATGCTTTTACAGGCTTTGTTATTGTTTGGTTTTGAGTGGCGGCATTACTCACCTGTATTTTTGCATATCACACTTATCACTGCTTTATGTTTATATATATTGACATACGCACTTTGCACTCAGTTGTTAGAATTTGTATTTTAAGCTCATAGTTAGTTATATTTACTTGTTTAGCTAATTTTTATTTGTTAGCTGCAATATCACGGTATATAGTCCAGTTCGGCACTGTGTGACCGTAGCGTAATAATTATTAAACAGCTGTTGCTGTCGCGCTGAGAGTGGCGGTCGGTCGATAAATCAAATAATGCTACATTAACAGACGCACAATTGAGCAACATTTTACTGCAAGACATCCTGAATATCGTGATTCCTTTGGATCAAACTTTTAAAATTTTACACAGAATCACAAACTAGGTGATAGAATGTACCAGAATTAGAAACTCTAGTAATAAATAATTGACCACGGACCAATGACAGCAAGAGGCTAGAATCAACACTAACAGCAACAGCTTGCTGCATCTTTGCAGTGATATCGATTAATTTAAAATAGCGAAATCAGAAACCATTTAAATATTAAGATAGTTTAAAGCAAATATATATAATTAGTTTTCTGGAATAAATAACAATTTTTTATACTCAAAACGGGCCGATAATCTGGCGACATTGAACTGCTGCCATAAAGCGTTTCCAACATTTTGCATGGAATATAAATATGACATTTACATAGGCTGCACCAGCAGAAATAACTCCTCCTTCAAGAAGTTGACATCAGATGCGACTGGAGTTGGAATTGATGGTACCGAAAACAGTAAAACTATGTTTGGGATCAATCTGAGCACAAGAGAGGAGAAACATATTATTTACAAAATTAGTAAATGATGAGAGTGAATATACGCACTTGCAGTCATATAAAGTCTTTTCCATGTCTTCCTCACTGAATTTGCCGTCGCTGGCGGACACCAAATTAAACTCAAGTGACTCATCAGCTAGGCAAGATTGCACAAACTCAAATATATCGGATATCTTTTCATATACATTAAAGGTACCCTGTGTGGTATAGATAAATATTAATTAAATATATATACATATATATAGACAGTAAAGGGCCTTTGGATAGCTCACCTGAATATAGAGACCATTAGGAAATTTGACTCTTATCAGAGCATAGCGATACATGCGCAAGGTGCGCTGCTCTTCCCGTTCCCTCATGGCCTTGGTCTTCAGTATCTGTGAGCTTTCAATTGCCTCGGCGCGCATCTGTTGCTCCCGCTTAATTTCTTCTGGTGAGATGCGATAGAAGTCATCCGGCAGGACAACGCGACGAGCCTGCGATGGCAGCAACACTTTAATATTGCGATCCAGCTCTAGCTGTATGGGCTCAGAGTTCTTCAAGGCATCCAACAGCGTGGCTAGATCCAAACCCGGTTCCATCTGGTCGCTTGACCACACGAGAAAGGGCTCACCATCGAGCTCCACCTCATTGAATCCAGCTGCATGCAACACATCCAAAGCGCCATCCACATAGCGCACCTTATCACTGAAGATCTTGTTGGACATGCGAATCTTACAAAATTTCTCCTCGTTCGGATGCTGAATGATATTCTCCAGATATTTGGTGAGCGTAGCAATACAATCGTCTGCCCGTTCCTTGACATTGCAATTTTGTATTATCAAACAAGCGGTCAGGCCGCGTTCGAACTCCAGCTGTTGATAGAGGAACTCCTTGATTTTCTGCTTCCATGCCTGCTTGGGCAGCACTTCGTCGCTTATTAGAGGACAGCGAAAGAACACGCCCTGGCAAGCCAAGTTTCGATTCTCTTGAGCTGAAGAGCTGGCGCTGGCAGAGCCAGTATTAGAGGAACAGGACAACTCCTGTTTCTGTTTGCGCTCTGCTTCCAATTCCCGCTTCGCCTGCGCCTTAATGGCAGCCAGCGACGTATTGAAATCCCTCGAGTCCTTGCGCTCGATACGTGAAAGTGCCGCGTTTGCTGCAGCGCGTGCCTCATTGCTCAGCTCGTGGCGCCGAGGTGGGACATAAGCATCCTTGTCGCGCTTTGACGAGCTGCTCGACGGTGCTTCGGGCTTTGGCTCATTCAACTTATGACCCTGACCCATGCCGCCGCCTAATCGCATCTGCAAAGGGAACAGATTTTAGTATACGATTTGAATATTAATTTAAGGTTTACCTTGAAGGCGGCCTCCTCCTTCTTTTTGGAAAAGAATCGCTTGATTTTTGACATGATCTTAAATTCTGGGTGAATGCTCCTTCGGCAACTTCAATTTGGCTACAGATAATTTGAGCTCTTCAATTTCCTTTAAAGTGCCTAAGAAAGAAATTCGCCGAAAATTTAACGATTTATTTGCTACTATCCATACATAAATTGATATATATATAAATTCATATGTATTCATTAACAATCGTACTCACTCGGCCTGACAAACTTTTCAGTGATCACACGACCGTAAACGCCCCACGCCCACGCAATTAGCACACCTGTCCCCAGTAATAGTATTAACAGCACCTTCAGCAACGTTGCCTGTAATGCTGTAAACTCAACGGGACTTTGCCACTGCCAATGCCAGTCGGCAGCGAGGTTGATCAATTCGCTGTAAAATTGGACAACAGCTTGTAGAGCGACGCTAGAAAAGTGTTCAACTTGTTGGGCGAAAGCCTGTAGGGTTGAGTTCAGGGTGTTCACATATATCTCATAACTCATTGGCCTGGCCGAAAGACACTTTTAGCTTAAGTATTTAAGTACTGACGTGTTTTTTCTTTGTTTTGAACTACTTTGTTTACGTTTTACGAATTTTTTTCCGAGCACACAAAAAAATGATTCGCAGCTGTCTGACGACGGTTCAATAATTAATCGTTCTATTCGATTGGGCGATAGCTTGTATATATTCACTTAACTTGCTGCACTCTTGCTGTTAAGCTCGAAATGGAGCTGTTAAAGTTTTCGATTCACAACTAGTCGATAGTTGACCGCGGTATTTAAATTTGAGCAGTCAATTTTAATTTGTATATAAATTGTTTAGGCTTGTGTTGTATAAACGCACACATGCGACAAGATAATAGAGATAAATGTATTTGCTTTTGTTTTTTGTTTAAGTTGAAGTTTGTTTACTAAGTTCACGAAAAGTTAAGCACCTTAGTCAATAAAACATTGCTCTATTCGATTGGGAAATAATTAACATGTAATTTTGCTTTAACAGCACGCTGTTACTGTTGCAACATTAAAGTAGCCGATAGTTGCGCGCGATATTTGAATTTACATTTAGACCATTTTGGCATAACAATTTACATACTGATTAATTGCCGCTGGGCGCTGACCCCATTTAATAGGGCTCTTTATTTATTGATTTTCTGATTTTTTTGTTGACTGTTCTACTTCCTTTCATAAACATAAACAACTGGCTGTCCTTAAGCGGAGCAACAGGTCTTAATCCAGGTTGCTTGCGTAATTGTTTTGCCAATACTGACACGCCCCATATTGTTGCAGCTGTGTGCATTCTGACAGCACATCCTTGTTGCGGTTACCTGTTTCTTGCCTGTGGCAACGTGTACCAACAGCATAATTGAATGATTTTTGGCCATTTCGGCAAGTGCTTTGCGCTTTGCTTCCTGTAATTTTAGGTGATTTTGCACGCATCATCTTTTCTTTTCATTTTCTGCAGCAGCAGGAGCAGGAGCAGGAGCATCTGTATGATTGATTTTTGATATGTTGCCATTCCTGAGCACGTTTATGAGTAGCATGAGTATGTGTGTGTGTGTGTAAGTGTGTGTGTGTGTGTATGTGACATGTGTGTGTGTGCAGCTCTTCGCTTGAGCGCCTTGGCGCTGGAGTTCAACAGCCCAGCCGAAACATGAGCATTGCATAGAAAAATCTGCCCAGACGTTTAGCTAGTCAAGAGCAACAGCAGCAGCAGCATGCATGGCTTATGGCTTCCGTATGCCCAGCTCGCTCCACTGACTGCGACCACGAGACCCCAACGCCCAAGTCAACAAACAGCCAGGCAGACAGCGCGACAGACACAGTCATAGATATACATAGATACAGAGCCACAAGCACCGATACAGATACGCAAACTCTAATTCCATTCGGCTTGCCCATGTTTATTTGTGCTAGCTCATTTTGCTCTGCGAGAATGTCGACGACTTATAATACGAGCAGCGTGCACAATTTTCTACACCTCTATTTTTTCTGTTGTTCATTCTTCCTCTTCTTTAAAGATCATAATTATGGTATCGGAGTGACGCCAAGCTTTTGCTATTATATTCCATCACAAAACACGCGATATGTTCTCACTGCGCTGGCACTTTTTATATTAATGCCATTTTTTTTTTTTGCTTTATTTTTTGTTTTTTTGCTCAATTAACATTCCTGGCATGTTTTGCAGTCTTGACCAGTCTTAAAGGCATTTCAGCCGCCTGCAATTGCAATTGTTGTTATCACAGGCCATGCGCCGAACCTGAAAAACTAGTTTCCTGCACAGATAGATATATATATACATGTATTTATATATATATCTATTTTTTTTTTTAGTTAGTTGTGTCTGCAAATGCTGTGGCTCGGCTAATGCCAAGTAAAAGCTGGCTCGCTTCTTCGTTTTCACCCTGTTTGGCCAACTTTTGACTGACTTTGACTTTGTTCAAAGTCAAGGCTTTATTTAGTTTATGCTGCTTTCAATTGATATTGCGTTCCCTCATTAAAATTTATGCGCGCAGGAAACGGAAGCACAGCAGACGTCGTCATCATCGCCGTCGTCGTCGTCGTCGTCGTCGCTGTCGTCTTCTTTGGCAGACAAGGCGCAGACAATGTCACAAACAGTTGCTAGTTGCCAGTTGCCTTCGGTCTAGCTCCATTCCTGGCCATCTCGCTTGGCTATGCAGCCGGCATTCCCAAAGACCAGCGCAGAGCCTCCGCGATTGTCACTCAAAATTGTAAATGCCTCAGGCGGCAGCCGCAACGAAATCAAAATTGAAAGTGTTGACACGCCCACACAGCGCACACTGTAATATATGTTTGATAGTTGTCATCGTGCACTATCTCTATCTGTGACTGCTCTTCTCTCTCTGTCTCTCTCTCTCCCTCTATATGCACCTGTGTTGATCAATGCACGCCTGTCCATCAGCATAATTGAGCTGAAAGGCTTATTTATGACAGCGCTGCGTGGAGGGTTGAAGGAATCTATAATCTCCATAAAATAAATAGCTAATTTATAGACAATATAAGGGGAAAGTAAAGAGAAGACTCTAAAATGACAACTGCATAAAAAATAGTAATTAATAAATTAACTAAATGCATTTTTATTATATTTTTTTGTGTATAAATAATTTATATATATATTTTAATAAATATAATAATAAATATATTGGTTTTTAAAGAATTTTACTCTTATTTTTAATTGTCTTAGAATTAAAATGTTATGACAATGATTTTGATCAAATATTTATATGTATCTGCTGAATTTTTGTTTTTAATTTTATAAATATTTATATGATAGATTATATGATAGATCTACACAAAAATGTCTTAAATTCCATTTGTTATCTTTATATTAAAAGTCAAACAAAAAAACCTCTAATTATTCTCAAATAATACTTGCTATAAATAGTTTATCTGATCTGCTTTTGATCGTAAAACTGAACTTGTTCTCTTAATAGTAGCTCAAGATATTGGAATAGATTTGTCTAAATTAAGAAAATGAACCCTGATTATATCTATATATCATATCAGCCAATCAGCTACAATCTTCTACAACTAACTTAAGTCAATGCACAAACGCAGCTTAGTCAACTCTTAACTTAGCCTGTCTCCTTCTCTCTCTCTCTCTCTCTCTCTCTCTCTCTCTCTCTCTCTCTCTCTCTCTCTCTCCCTCTCTCTCTCTTTCCTTGTCACTCTCTAAGTAACCTCAACCCCGCATTTCACACACATGTTATTAAATTACAAGAATTTATTTATTGCTCTCAAAGCCACTGACAAAGCAGAGCAGCCAAAATTTATGGCGAGAGGGGAGCAAAATGATGCGAGAGGGGAGCTACAAGAGTTTCTTAACACTTGACTACATCGAGTCGCAGCGTTCCATTTGTTCCCATGAACTTGAGATGTGGCAATCAGTTCACTCTTTTATGCAGAATGCCTCTAGCCCACTCACTCACTTTGCCCTCTCTCTCCCTCTCTCTCGCTCACACACAAATGACTGTGACAGTTTAGTGGCCTCTCTGCCTGTCTCTCTCTCTCGCTCTAACTGCCGCCCTCTCTCTTTCGGTTGCTTTGTCTTTGTCGCATTTTCTTGAGCAGCATTTCACACAGCTTTTGGCTTTTCCCTTCTCATGGCAATCACTGGGAGCTCCAAGCGTGGGCGTGAGAAACCCACTGAACTTCAAGTGCTTTTAATGCTTATGCTTTTTGGGGTGGGAGCTGCATCTAATATAACCGGATGTTGTCAAATGTGGCCACGCCCCCCAACTACTGCTGCTGCTGCTGCTGCTGCTTCGTGGTGGTCCCCGCTGCGTTTAATGAAAATGAACTAATTAATTCCCTAGTCTCTAGTTTCTCTCCCCAAAGACCGCCCGAAGCTCGAATTTAATTTTTTATAATTCTTTTTTCCCATATTTCATCAATCGACTGGAGTCGGCCTGAACTTTTAGTGTTAATGACATGCCACACAGCGCGTCATCTAGGTTTTTATCCAAGCCGGACTCTAAGCATTCTTTATGGCATCCGTCGTCAAACTGAGTCACCAAATGGGACAGGGACAAATGTACCGCCAGACGGACGGACAGTTAGATATAACTAAGATAGCTTTTATCGTGCCCGTGGGCTTGTCCATTTTCATTCTTTACATTTTCTTGCCGTCTCAAATTTCCCAGCTTCGATCAATTCATATGTTAATGCCACACAGGGCATGTTCCAACATTTCACTGAAAAACAACAACAACAACAACAACAACAAACTCCAAATAAACAAACAAAACACGAGCCGCGGAACAAGTGGCTCTTTGGAGGCAGCTTCCAAGCGGGCGTTCGATTTGATGTGTGAGTGAATGAGTGTGAAAGAGAAAGACAGAGAGAGAGAGAGAGAAATAGAGACAGAGAGAGAGACAGAGAGAGAGAGACAGAGTGCATGTGTGTGGGACAGGGCTCTTCTATGTGTTCTCTCCTTAAATATACCGCGTAAATATTGGCAATTGCGGTTAGCTGGGCAAATAGTTGATTTAACAGTTAGACGAGAAGTACTGAAAGGGAGCTAGCTATATATTCAGAGTCTAAGAGCTGGAGCTACGAGTGTATGACTATTTTTATTGCATGAAAGTCTATCAATTTCAGATTGCTGAAGTTAGAAAGTTTGAATGTAAAGCTGAATTGATTTATTGCAACTGAAATGAGCTCGCTATCTCTGTCTCTCTCGCTCTCTCTCTCTCTCTCGAACTATTTTTCTCTTCTGGATTTTCCCATTTTTTCTGTCTCACTCACTTCTCTCATACTCCATCGATGTTTGTCCAACCCTATGTCTATCTGTTTCGGTAGTTCTCTCTGTCTCTCTCTTTTTCTCTCTGCACATTTTCTCGTTGTTCGCTTTGTAGCTTCGCCTATCTGTCTCGCTTTTTATCTTTTCCTAGCTGCCTCTCTATTACTTTTACAAGTAAATTGATTATTGCCCCTCTCCCTCTCTCAATCTCCAGCTATCTATTTAACACACTCCCTATCTTTCTTTCTCTCACTCTATCTCTCTCGCTCTCTCTATCGTTCGCCTATCACTCTCTCTCTCTCTCTCTATCCCTCTTTCTTTCACTATGACTCCCTATTTCTAACTCCCTCTCCTTATTTAGCACTTTCCAACTACCTACAGGGTATCTGACAGCCGTTCAGCCGTCTCAGCAGCCCGCACTACTCCTCTTCCATTTTCAACTTGTATTTTTTCATATTTGTTGATTCATTTCATATGTTTACCCCGTCGATTGCAGAGTTCGTGGGAAATATCGCGCGCCCATTCCCCTGTTTTCCTTCGTTTTGCTGCCAATGAACTAATTAAAGAGGCGGCTGCCCCCGAAGAGTTTCAATTGCACAATCGTAACCCCCGCGCTATTGGGCCCCAAATGCTTGTGGGTCTCGTTTGTTGATGTTTCGTTTAGCGTCTGGTGTTATTTCTGCTTCGGGTCAGAACTTGATTAACAAGAAACTCGAAACACTTGAGCCTGGCCCATTGGATGTCGAGCGAGCAACAAAATTTTGGTTAAGTCATTTCCTTTGCCATAGAAAAGTTAATTTTTGTTTTTTGGCTGCCGGAAAATGGGTGAAAAGTCATTTCGAGTAAATTGGCAAAATCTGTAGCTCAGAATTGTAGCTCTTCATCATCATGATGATGACGACTGTTGTTGTTGTTGTTGTTGTAGCTTGGAGGGAAACGTCGTTGGTTCCCACTTCCGTTTGGTTGGTTGGTTAGATTTTTTTATTTTTTTTATTGTTTTTCGCACCTTGGCTTCCGTTTTGGACTTCGGGTCGCCCCGGCGGATATTCTACTTTACATAAGCGGCATTTCCTACAAAAATTTTCCCGGTCTTTGAGCTCAGTTTATTCGCCTTTGTTTTGCTAAACGCATTCGCATCGCTTGATTGATGGTTCGATCGGGGGAAATTAAAACAACAGACACAGCCACGGACACAGACAGACGGACAGACATTTCACAAATCACATTTGTACATTTTCACATTCCATTAAGAAAATTACAAGCGGAAAAACTAGACGGAAATATACTCATTGTGATAGATCGGCCATCAGATAGACCGTAATGCACAAACCAATCAGCAGAAACAGAGCTTTGAAGAACTCCACTGTGACTAGAGGAGACAGGAAGGAGGTTAGGATGGAGGGAAAGGGCACATGAGGGAATTGCTCTAATTATGAACTCATGTCAATTTACGCACCAAACGTCTCTACTGCGATGATCGGCAGTGTGATCCGAGATCCCCGCCTTTTGGGCCTCCTTTTGGGTCTGGGGCGACGATATAGCTGCCTGGTGGGATTATCATGAATAGGAACATCGATGACGGGCATTGGGTGTGTGACCTCGAGCTCCTTGTTAAAGCACTTTTGGGTGCTTTGTCCCCATCGCACCTTCTTCTTCACGGCCATACCCCCATCGGCAGCCATCTGTGTGCGGAACGAGGGCTCCCCGGACGCCTGATTCGTGATGGCAGAGAACTGCGGCACGACTGCCAACTCGTTGTTGTTCCATATTTGGGTATTTTGGCCCCAATGCGACATTTTCCCGGACTTGCTCCGTTCGGCAATCAACGTGCGAAAGTTTGTCTGAGAACGGTGCATCAGCTCCTCGGCCTCCCGCTGCCGGTCGGCGTACGCCTGCGGCATGATGCTCTCGTCCAGGGCCTGGACAATGGCCCTCTCCACCACCAACTTTTGATTGCATTCAGGCACAAAAGCCGATACCGAGATCTTCGATAAGCAGGTCATGTATACGGCACTGGTTGACTTGTATATTTTTACGGGCATAATGCTACGAAATAGGACGAAATAGGTAATCAATTGAAAGGAATACTGTGCGCAGGGTGCTCACCTCTTTAAAATGCTGCGTTTAGCTGGCATTTTGGATTTTGATTAAAAAATTATTGTAAAAAAATAGAAAGACGAAACGAAATAAAAAACAGCTTAAAATAGACATAAAAATTTAATAAAAAATGGTATCTAAAACAAAGTGTTTCCCAACTGCCTACTATGGGAAGCAGGGCTATCAGCTGTCAAAGATTGTATTAGGTAACCTCTGGATCAGTTCCAACTGTTAAACTGTGGACTAGTGGATGCAATCCTTATAGACCACAGGCACTGTAGATCCCTTAGCGACAATAAACCCTATGAACCTTATAGATCGCTTAGATGTTATGGGAATCTGATATTATCGACTCTATGGACTCTGTAAACATTTGCTTTAACGTCTATAAAAAAAAAAAAAAAAAATAAATATTTTATACAGCTCTTCTCTTTACTTAGGTGCTTCTACTCTCATCACTTGTATCAATATTTTTGCTGCTTACAAAATTTCGTTGCGTCAGCTGTGTAATGTGTGGCATGCGGCATGCGGCAAGCAGCATGCAGCATGTGGCATGTGGCAGGTCGTGGCCGTCGCTTCTTCACGACATCTGTTTCATATTACAAGGTAGCCGCACAAAGGTAAAGTACTTGCCCCCGTTGCTGTTGTTGTTGTTGTTGTCGGTGGTTGGCCCATTTGTCTCACTTCCTTTACCTTTCGGACTGGCGCACAAACAACATCCCGGATGCCAAACTAAAGAGAGAATTAAAAAAACAGAAAAATACACACACACACACACACACACACACAGACATCTGGACGGACAGACAAATTTATAAAACTGCACTAAATGCAAAGTTCCAAAGTTACAACAGCAGCAGCCACATACAGGAAGAGCCGACGTATCTGTATCTATGATTGTGCATGTATCTGTATCTGTATCTGTATCTGTTGCTATTCATTCATAGAGCAAACCCAACTGAAGCGGATGCACGGGCGGATGAAGCGCTTGAATCAGCAACTAGCTCTCTATACCTAGCGCTACCTAGCTCTATCTCCCTTACTCCCACTATACCTCTCTCTCTTTCTGCCTTCTTCTCTCTTTCTATGGTATAGTTCTCTTTTTTTGTGGGTTCTATTTGGCTGATTATCATGAGTAGTTATTGTTGTTGTCATAATTGTGCAAAAATAAGAGGAAATAGAAGCAACTGAGATTGCTCTAGTTTTAAGTGACCGACTAACAGATATCCCAGAGCAATGTTGGGGGTTTTTAAAATACTTTAACCAGTTTCTGATCTTAAGTTTGTGATCTTAAGGAAGTGCTCAGACTGACAGAAGCACAGTAGAAGAAGTTCAGCCATATAGGCTGACATATGTAGCTCAAGTTGTATTACCAGAAAACCAATACCCTATTTTACGACTTTCCCCAAGCCCATGTAAAACCTAGCTAGCCAACCTTTTGATTTGCTTCAACCAAATATCATTTGCTTCACAATTAGCAGCAAAGTCTAGACTACTTCGGCCTCCAGCTCTCTCTCTCTCTCCATCTCTCTTTGCATACAAATAAATCACGGTCTGTCTGGTCTAAAAATAAAGACTCATGGGTGTTCTGCCGAATGTTAACATTAACTTCTCGGCCAACAATAACAAAGAGTTTATTGCACTTCCATTGAGAAACGATACGAGTTTTGTTCAGCTCTTTCCTTAATGATGTGCTAATGGGGCAAGATGTCAATGCGCCTCTTTACTACCTACATATAGTTCTATACATACATATATATACATAGTTCCATTTTAAATTGTGAGAGACATAAACAGCACATGAAAAACTGAACTCAAATGCAACAACTTGTGCCCATTCAAAAATTGTTTAGAGAAAGTCAAGTCAAAGATTAGGAAAGAATACGCTGGGAATTTATGCACATCAAGTTATCCAAAAAGGGAGAGGAAATGAAAGAGCGAGAGAGAGAGAGAGATAATTCTGTACAGCAATTGGCTTAATCTCTTTTAAATACTTTAAGTGGAAGCTTAATCTTCTATAAATACTTTCTGCATATCAGTTGTAGTCCGGAACTGGAAACGTTGAAGGTTTTTCTTTTGAAATACTTTTTGCAGCTTTTTTTTTATACCTAGCCACTTATCGGAATTTCTTTGATAAGACTTATCTGGGGCTTACTGCCAGACGGAATACCTAGACAGCACATCTGGCATATGTAGACGGTTATATCTAGCTAATTGCATTGTTAAGATATTTAGGTGCTTTGACTGCCTTCAATTTTTTAATTACACCAGACAGCTATGTAAATATCTCCATAGATGCTTTATGGCGATTCTTAACTCCAAGACCTTCAGTGATTAGCTCAATTTAAGAAACGCTGACTTGACTGATCTGTGCAGTATAACAGTATAACAATAAAGTATAATTTTATAGCAATATAATAGTATAACAAAGAATATATATATTAGTCTCCTTCTTTCCTAAAATAGACTTCCGTCTAGTTCTTTCCTATTTCTCAATATGTTTGCAAACCCAATGAGTATTACATCATATGAGTTTCCCCTCCGACTCTTTCATAATTCCATCTGCCATATCTAAAGAGTCTAGGAAATATTTTCCATCTCTTAAGATCCACTTCCATTAAAAGAGCATTCAATCCACTTCAAATAAAAACTCACATGAAAATTTCATTTGATTTTTCATAAAATTTCATTTTATATTTTCATTAGATGCAAATACTTAGATGACTAATAGGACAGCATTTGAAGTAGGCCCCGCCGCCGGGCCGCTGGCTAATAAGAGATAGAGCCTGGGCACTGGCGGGGCATACTTCGACCACTTAAGCGATTAAGCAAATGCATTTAGGGCTACGACTTAAGACTAGGTAACTCTATATATATCTGTGTATTTATATATGTATATGTATGCTATATATACTAGGTATATTTACAACCTTAGGGTATTTCGGTTCAGTGTGTGGGGTTTTTTTTTTAGGAGAGCAACGCCATGGCGCGTGCGAGACGCACACGGAAATCACGATAGAGCATCTTGCCGCCGACGGGCACACGACACAGATACATATCCATGCTCATCAGGCAGAGGGCTTTGCCGTTCATTGGGAACTTCTGCGGCAGCTCGGGCGTTACTTCGAGTCCCTCCGATACGGTCATATTGATCAGCCATTTCCACACATCGGCACGTGTCCAATCACGCGGATCCAATGGCAAACCATCGGAGCCCATGGGATATGGCAGACTGTTCTTATGATGTTGAATGCTGCTGTTGTTGTTGTTGTTGCTGCTGTTGTTGCTGTTGTTGTTGTTGCTGCTGTTGTTATTGTTGTTGATGTCATCGGACCTGAGCAAAGTCTTGTCCAACATTTGTAGGTAGGGATGATGACGCTTGCTGTTCGCCCACAGCTGCTGCAGCTGATCTTGGCCGGCGTTGACCTGGGACAGATCCAATGGCGGCACGCGTCCGGCATATTTCGGGTAACTGGCCTCCAATTGCATCGTGAAGCAGTGAGCTGCAAATGACAGATAGAAATGACGCTGATTAATGGAAGTGATTCATTACCAGAGAGGGGCACAAGAAGGAACTGTGTGACTGTGTGTGTGTGTGTGTGTGGTTGTTTGCGGACTAAAGTCAAGTGGCGGAAATGCTTTCACAACCGGACAATTGTTTAATCGTATCAACGGCAACAATAATACGCCAACACCGGATTGTACGTGCAGTAAACAAACAAAGAGCCTCCAAGCTTAGTCACCAGGTTTGTGGGCTTTAGAGATAATGCTAAATAAATGTGACCTAAATTTTATACAAAATCCAAGTGTCACACAAAATAAATTGCAAGAACCATATGCTGTTCCCGATATTTTCGCAATTGAAAAAATAATTCATGTCAACTGTTAGACAGCTAGCATAATCCTGCTATACATATTAACAGCGCTGTTAAGTAAGAGTATTCAAATTTCGCCGTGCGTTATCTGTTGTTATGCTTTCAGTGATGTTTTATATTTTTATTTTTGTTATTCTACCGCAAAATTAAATCTGACCTTGTTGCCATTGAAATAATAAGACACAAATGGTCTGTATAAACGATCGCATGTACATACATATGTGGGGCGGATCAGAGAGGGGCGGGTCACACGCGAAAGGAAGCGCTGAGCAATCATTACGCTGTTGTCATATCGATGCAACAACAAGAACAACAGCTACAATGAGGCGAAAATAATAGTCGCCCCAACGGTAGGAACAACAGCAGCAGCTGCTGTTATTAACCATGACCACATTTTAATAAATGGCCCACATTTGTATGGCTGACAATTATATGATGGCTCAGTGGTTTGCTCAATTGTGTTGGCCGACATAGAAAGGCAAGTGCCAAACCGGAATCGCATCGATTACGATAATAATCAGAAACTATGCGGCAAGCGGAAGCAATTAGCAAACGCGGTAGCAGCGGTAACGGCAGAGGCAGAGGCAGCGGTAGCGGTAGCGGCGAATTGCCAACTTGCGAACGAGCTGATCAAAACAAAAAGCGACAAAACTCTAAAGACGGCGAGCATGGGCAATCAGAATGGCAAATGCGAATGGGCATGGAAATGAAAATGGCAATGACAAGCAAAACATCCGCCGGCGCAAAGCTAAAGCTAAAGCCAATGTTAAAAGGTGTACGACGCGCACGCGTGTGTGTATGTGTGAGTGTGAGGAAGGGAACGGAAGCCGCGGGCGTTACGGCGACCACCGCCATCCGAGATTTCATTTCACACAGCGCATCCAAAATAGGGGGAAGCCAACTGTGGCAGAACCCTTTCGTATTGGCCCATTTGTCATTTGCCTGTGTTAATAGTTTTCCGGAACCCGTTTCAAGTGCTTCCGTCCAAGGAAGTGCGTAAAAGCCAGCTGAAATTCGCCAAGGAATCGAACTTTGAAGCCGCAATTTTAATTAAACGTGTGTGTGTGTGTGTGTGTGTGTGTGTGCGTGCGCGGCGCGATAATTCCCACGGACACCGAATTCGAATTCGAATGAATCAACAAATATTGTATGAAAGAGAAAAAAAAAACAGCTCTGAAAACTCTTTTTCGTTGTTCTCTTTGTTTGCCGGCCAGGAAGCCACACACAATGCCCGCCGAACCACTTGTTGGGATATGTACAGAAAATATTTGTTTATTTATGTTTTGTCTGTGATGTGGGGAAATGTTGAGCAAACTAAGTTATTAACATATAAATTGGGCATTCCAGAATGCCGTCTTTCTGTCAAAGCCCTGGCCTAAGCTAATGCAACGAAGAATGCATGAATCAGTATATACATACATATGTGTGTCGGTGTGTCTGCTGCCTTGGTGACTCAGGCTACAGCGGATGCCATAAACATGCCCAAGTTTGTCCAAGACGACGCTTTAAATGCACTTTATATTATTTAATGTGCTTTATTAGCACCTGAGTGCAGGCATATCATTAGCAGCAACTGTCGATAAGCAGTTTCGATAAACGATCAACAATCATTTACATATCAAATGTGACCGCACCACAGGCGATGCACACAGCGGGCGCTCTAAATTAGACAATTATAACAGTTTGAATTTTGTGTGTTGGAGACCACCTCATGAGGCAATTTCCGGCGACTATATTTACAGATTTCCCACAGCGCAAAGGGAGACGTACAGATAAATTGATTATTAAAGCTGTCGGCAATTGAGGGGGCGTGTTAATGCAGGACTGAGTGCAATATGCAATTACTCAATAGGTAATGCCAGGTTTTAAGCTAATTGCAGCTGGCTCGATTGCACTGCGCAATTACTCCATGGGCGATGTTGCACAGGGCTATGCAGCAGGATCGATAGCGCACAAACCAATTACTCAATAGATAATGCTGCATATGTCACACGTCTGCTGAGCTTCCGTTGTGACAAGGGCCAAAATTATCATTAACCCACACATCGATCAAATTGTCTATGTACATACATATGTATGTATATTTTTGTTTTCGTTTGTTAATTTGTCAACATTGACTTTCCTTTTTGGTTTAGCTACACGCAAAACGCGCGCTGAGCACGCGTCGTCGTCTGCCCTTAGCTCAGGGTCTGTCACTTCCACGGGTAGGAAATGGTTTTCTGTTACTAGTTGGAGTCAATGACAGGAAGTCTGTGCAATGTGCGCATATCCGCCTCCGCCCGCGCACAGGATGCACAAAAGGAAACTCTGACACACACAAGCTGAACAAATGTGCGATATGCCATACACATGCATACTCTCAAACACACACACACACATATGGAAATGCATTTACGCCAGTTTTAATTACGTTGACGTCTGCACTTTGCACTGTCGTTTGTTGTTCTTGTTCCTGTTGTGTTGTTGCTGCTGTTGTTGCTACTTAGTGCCAGCTACTATATAAACACTGACACACTCACCCATACACTCGCTGCTTCTTCTGACAGCAACAGCAGCAACAACAACAACGAAAACGACGAAACGTAAAATCGTAATTTGAAGTTCGTAAAAATGACGCGTTTCCTGTCATTTGGCGAGCACTTTAAGTGCGTAATTTGCTCCCCACACACACACACACACACACACACACGTCGGTTCTACACTTAAATCTTTGCTGTGTATTTGTCTGTTGACGCCTCCCATCTTTATCTGCAGGTCGCTTCCGTTTTTTGAAGAACTCATCTACCGCGAACTTTTTTTTTTCGCCGGGCATCACAAATCTTTTGCACAATTTCGCATATAGATTTTGTATACCCTGTAGACAAGATACCATCATATGATGAGACAGACTTTATTGTAGACTATTTGAATCACGTCTTATCTGCATACATACATATGTTTGCATATTCAAATTTAGTATTTATTCTAGTATCTAGCAGAAGTAGTAATTTTGTCTAATTACTCAAAAGGTAATGTCTGGTTTCTAGTATTTATTGCCCCAAGGTGAATTCATATTTTGATCTTTATACACACACATATATTGTTTTGTATAGGGTATTTTTCGATCGTCCCGCACATGCACTCTGTTGCTCTCTCTGCAATATTCTTTCGCTTGGTTTACATATCAAATGTCTGACAAATAGCAAACACAGCAAACTATGTAAATTTTGTTTTGCCTAGCTGCCATTAATTTGATTACAATTTGAACGCGCACGAATCCTAAGCTCTAGCTGTAGCTGTGGCTGTTACTGTATGTATATGTGTGTATCTGTATCTGCGAATGTGTATGTATCTCATAGATACACTTGCGCATGTCTAAATTATGCGCTTCCTCCTAAGTCAATTTGCTGTTGTTTTTCTTCTTCTATCTGTTGCTTATATTTTTGAGAGGTTCTCAAATTAAGTTAAATTTCCAGCTGAGGAGTTTTGAGCTGTTGACGTGAGAAAGGTTTTAGAGGAAGGGCGGAGAGAGAGAGAGAGGGAGGGAGAGACTACAAATTCAAGGCAAATAAACTTGCTCATTCACAAATATTGTATATGTATGTATATTTTACAGAGTGCATGCAACAACAACAATTATAGACAGCAGCAGACGACAGATGATAATCGGCTGAATATTGTTAAAAATAAACAAATTTTTGTTGCTGTTTTTCGCCAGCCAAGCAACAACAACAAAACCGGATTCCTATATATGTATGTGTATATTTATACATGTTTGCTGATATTACAAATCATGTAACGCTGTCGCTGTCGGCGTCTGCGTCTGCGTCGACATCGACATCGGCGTCTGCCTGACGTCTGCAAAAGCGCAGCAATACACTGGGCATCGGGGGGACTGTAGCCAGTGGATGGGGGGAGGGGGAGGGTCACATAGGGAGCACATTGAAATGTTGGAGCTGCGCCCATCGCATAGCCATTCATCATTTTCATTTGGGACGCGGGACGCACGTTGATGGACGGATGTGTGACGACTTTTCCTCGTTTAAAAATAAAGCAAATGGCGCCAAATGCAATTGGTTGGGGTGGCAACGAGAGCGGAGTGGGGCGGGGTGGGGTGCTTAGTCTGTGCTGTAAATATTTAGTTGGAAATTAAATGAAAACAGAACGTAAGGCAAATGCTTTGATGATGACGAGTCGGCGACGGCGACGTCGTCTGACAGACGTTGAACATTTCACGCCCCACACGTGTCGCTGGCAATGTAGCGTGGCATGCAACAAGGCAACCAGGCAACCGGGCAACTAGGCGGCTGCTGCGTGGCGCGACACGCGCCACAGCGGAGCAGAGACACGACAAGCCCAACGAGCGACCAACTTGACGGAGGTGATGCGACTGCAACTCAGGTGGGATTTACCGTAGCAGCTAAGCAGGAAATGCGCAAACGAATGCTTATCGCAAATCAAAATTTCTGCTTTTGCTGGGAATTTCACTTGGTTCTTATCTAAGCAATTGCATTGACAGGTAATTTGACACATCCATAAAGTGCGCAAGCGATTTCCTTTAGTGGGTCAACAACGCGAATGAATCAGAGCAGCGTAGTGAAAGAGAGGGAGATGTATAAAGGGGAGAGAGACAGCGCTTGAGTGCGATTGCAATGGCATTTAATTAAGTGTTTTTGATCGATTTTTTATTATATATATATGATTTAGTTTAGTTGGCAACTTTCAGCATTCTTTATCATATTTCCTATCAAGCTCTAAAGTTAGAGAATTCAAATATTCTATGTAACTTCTTATCAGGCAAACATTTATTTAATGACTTTTTATCTGTTGAAACTGGTTTGATATTGATAACTTCTTCTTCTTCTCACTTCTCACTTCAATATGTATTATATCGCTATAATATTTCCCTAGTATTAATAGATCTTCTTTAGCATAACTCGCGAACTATAAGAGCTATGGAGCTGAGATTTCATCTACTCCACTAGAGTTACTAGACATTTCAATATTTCTATATCAAATATTTTCCTTTAGGGTATTTCCTAACCGTTCCTCCACTTTCTGCATTCAATTTTATTGCTGCTGCTGTGTGGCCAGGTGCGTTTTTGATATGTGTGGCAACAGCAGAGCGGCAGCAGCTGCAAAGATTACAAAGAGCCGACTGCCACAATAGTTTCAACGTTCTCTCTCCACTTGGGACACATCCTTTGCGCATGCGCGCGCATTCACAATATGCGGGCTGCACAGGCTAACAAAGCGCCCAAAATGCAGCCAGCTCTGACTCTCTTTCTCTCTCTCTCTCGCTCGCTCGCTCTCTCTCCCTCTCTCTAGCTCGCTTGACTGAAGTTGATTCTACTGGTTTCTTATTATTATTTTTATACACTTTTTGCAGCTGCCGTCTTGGCATTTCGAGTGTGTCGCTTTGTCTTGCGGTTGCCGCTGCCCCGCCCCGCCCAGCCCCGCCCCGTAACTGCTTGCCGCTTTGACAATTCTGTTGTTAGGTTTAGTTTTGCTTCTGCACAGCCAACTATGAATGCGGTCATGGCAACTGCACATTCAGTCTAAAAGCAAGCAAGCAAAGAAAAATTAACTGTGAACGGTCTTCGAGAAGGGCTAGCGCTAAAAACCTGGCTTATAACTGTAGTTCGCACAAGAATTGGCAACAATGTACAAAGAGATTGCGTTTAAACGTGCTCAAATTTCATCTAAAGGCAGTACTCTCAACTTTTGCTATAATAATATAATACTATTATGGCATAGGAACTGTTGTTCCACATGGCAGCTATACAATGGGTGTGGCAAGAAGAAGAAGCCGTTAGAAGTCTTTGCGTAAAGTGAAGAAGTCCTTGTTATATGAGTATATATATTTTGGTATAGACACTTGTCTTTTCTATGAAAAGAATAGAACTAAAGATTCTCATTGCTTTCCCATAGATCGTAACCAAAGTATTTCATTAATGAAATCTTTCTGGTAGGAACTTATATACATATATACTGGAGTGTATGCATATTTAGAGTCTCTATATATGTAGAGTTATATATGATCTATGTGCTCTACTTATCAATCTTGATACATGTTGCTTTAACATTTTCCTATCTTTGCAGACTTCGCTTCTCTGAACTTTTCTTTCCCTTATTCTCATGCCTTTACCTTCTCCCACTGTTCCTCTCGCCTTTTTCATAGATCTCTTACATCGTATAGCCGGTATACCCCTGAGTAGTCTCAGTCTTTACACACATATTGTGCTCTTGAAAGCCCACGATCTTAGCTCAAGGCTAGATTGATTGTCTCTTGCCTTCGAGGCTGACCTATAGCTTATTAATTGAACATAATAAAAAGCGCTGGCACTTTCAATTTTTGTTGAACAAATCTATTTTTCTCGCTCTCTCTCCCTCTCTCTCTCTCTCTCTCTCTCTCCCTCTCTCTCTCCCTCTCTCTCTCTCTCTGTTAGCTTATGTTAATTTAAAATAATCTTTGTGTTGGCAATATAAATATATATGTATATTATACACCTATATACCTATATATGCTCACCATTTAGAGGTCAATTAGCGCGAAGAAAAGACAAAACACAAAACGAAACTGTGCCCACAAGGAAAAAGGTCTAAAATTAATTACGGCATTCCTCAACATGTCAAACAAGACGTTTACACTAAACACACACACACACACGCACAAATAAGAGAGACCTACAAAAATCAACAACAACAATAAAAAAACTGTTGTTAATGAGAGCAACAATTTAGGCTGTTTAATGAGCGACAGCTTTGCTTGGAAACAGAAAACTATATTAGCCGGCTTTGTGCGGGTCAAATCAATAATATGTTGAGCATGCGGGTGTGAAAAATGGAGAAAATGCTCTGGGCTTGAAGTCGCATAACATCCGGCTTTTATGAATTCCCTAAACTTGCACGACTTTTCCGGTTTTATATAGGAATGAAACTCTCTAAATAGATTCAGCTAAGTTCTTGGGGCTTAAGAGGTTTACTGATTGATGCAGCCTATAGTTAAGGCTACCGGTGAATCTGTCTATCTATCAATTAGTTTATTATAGACTTTAATGTCCCCATCAGTCAAGCAGCACTAGTTGTATAAGTCTATAGATAAAGCTCAGCGAACTCAGATTGATTGACTGATTTATAGTTTCGGCACAGCAAACATTTTCGGAAAAACTTCTCTGCACATAAGTTTTGCCTGAATGTGGGCTAAGTGAGAGTTATCCCTCAGTCAGTCCATTGAGTTTCATCAGACCTTTATCAATCAGTCGATCCAGTCATGTTTTAGTATGCCTAAGGAGATATTGCTGCTTACCTAGTTAAAAGTTAATCCAAAATTTGCTAGGGCTGCTTGCAGTTGTAAGGCGCCGACAATATCCGTTTCGATATATCTATATATATATATGCAGATATACGTGCTTATTTGTAATTTGTTTATGAATTTCTTTTATTTGCGTTTTGTTTATGGAACTTCCTGCGCGGAATTGCGAATGCAATTTCAGTCGTTGTCGCTCGAAATTTTTACTATATATACATATACATATGTATATGTATATGTAGATATTTCCAAAAGATATATGTATATATGTGTGTATATCTTTGTTGTTTTCTTTTGCTGGTTTTCGCGAAAATAGAAATTGCACTTGTTCGCTTTCGCTTTAGCTTTTTCTTTTTGCTTGTCTCTCGTATCTGCTCGTCGATTTTCACTGGAGGCGGGGCCGGACTGGACGGGAGGGCGGCAGCTGAAGCTATTTGTCAGATTTTCACAATTTGCGCAAAATATCTATCTCACAATTACAACAACAACAACAACAAGATTTACAAAGCAGCTGTCGCTGAGCTACTTTTCTATCGGCTCGTGTTTCGAAAGTTTTGTTGCTGTTTTTTTTTTGTTTTTTTTTTTCAAATTGTTGCAACTTTTTTCGAGTTTCTTTAATTTGTTTTTTTTTTTTCTTTTGTTCACTTAACACCAAATTCCAGTTTGCAGCTGCAATTCGCTTATTGTTGTTATTGCGTACGAGTCTCTGCGTATTCCAGCTAGTTGTTGTTTTTGTATCTGTCGGATGCGTGTATCTGTGTGCTGCTGCTTGTGCTTGCCTGCGAGCTGCTCCGCTTCTGTGTTCTGTTCACGCGCACTTCACGTTCTCAACTGATTGCGATCGTCGCTGTGCAGCGGGTTTTGTTGCCTCCGCCGAGGCACGAGCCCGCTCTCTGTCTCTTTACACACACACACACACACACACACGCACACACACACCGTCTTTCGCCCGTCAGATAACCACTGCTGCCAATTCAGCTTTTTTCCCGTCAAATCTGGCTTTTTCCGAAGACAAATTGCGGGAAATATTTAAGAATTGCGGGAAGCGGGAATTCTGGCTTTTTTTGAAAATGAATTAGGCTTTTTTCGATTTTTTTTAATACTTCGATTTTTTTTAATACTGAAAACATGTACTTTGTATTAAATATTGTATATATTTTTTGTATATATCGAATGCTAATTGCCTTAGCCTAATATGTATATCGTTCGGATATGTAGCACTAACACACACTTAAGCTAAGTCTTGCACAAACCTCTGCGCGCACCATGGTTAACATGGCGGTTGCCACTTGTAAGAAAAGAGCATGTAGAATCCGATATGTA